TATATATATATATATATATATATATATATTTACTTTTTTTTTCCATTCTGATACTTTTTGCGTAGTGAAAGTGTGTAAATAGGGCCATTGCTATTTTCGGGAATATGACTCCTCGAATGACCGAGTGCCAGGTCCAAGTGTTTTTATTTTTATTTCTCGTACTATTATTTATTATCATTATTATTGTTCTCGTTGTTATTATCGTTGTCACCGTTATTGTTTTTATTATAATTATTATTGTTTTTCTTGTTTATTGTTATTTCTGTTCTCTTTTTGTATTTTTATTGCTTTTTATTTCTTCTTCTTACTCTTTATTAAAAAAAAAAAAAAAACATCAACAACAATTTAATTAGGTCCTGACCTCTCTCATTTTCTCTCTTTCTTATTCACGACAGGGGTCTTTGAGGGCCAAGTGTGCGTGGGAAGGGGTTCAGGAAACTTCGCGGATCTAACATAAAGAAAAGATGGAAGGTTCCTGCGAAGAAAATGTGGATGTGGGCACCGTGGAAGCTCAAGAACATGTGTTTTCACAACCACCCCCACCCCCACCCCCACCCCCACGTGTTCCGTCTACATCCTCACCTGCTAAGCGCTCTACTACTCTCAACAGTGGTGCGGTGATACGAAGTCCAATGGTAATGACATCATCACATACATATGGTCTTGATGGTTTCTCTTCTGGTAACTCAATGCCAAGAGCTGTAGAGGATGCTTCACCTTTGTCTACAACTACAGCTGCTGAGTATGCAGAAATTGAACAGAAACAATTAGAGCTACGAAGTGTCGTAGAACACCGCATAGTAACACTTGAACGTTTGTTACAACGACGTGAAGAGGAACTAGTAGAACTGCGTCTTCAGCTTCAAAAAACGGAAGAAGATTATCAGTTTAACTATAATCTTATAAAGGATCGTGATGCTGCCCTAGAAGAAGCAGCCACACAGTTACAATCTCTTTATGATGAACTTAAGAGATATAAGGTAGATGAGGTCAACACTAGAAAACGTTTAGAAGTTTTAGAGCAAGAAACACAACAATTAAGACAACGACTTCGTGAAACAGAAGTTCAACGCGAACAAATGGTGCAGCGAACACAACAGACATATGAACAAAAAGAAAAACAGTTAAAAGAAATTTTTATGGAAAAAGAGAGAGCTTTAGAATCTGAAAAACAAAGATTACATGAAGAGTATTTGCGACGGTTTAAAAATCTTGATGATGCCAGGGCGGAATTGTCGGAAAAGAATGATTTATTAGAGGTTCAGTTAGAGAAAAAGTGGAAGCAGGAAGTAGCAAGACTAGAGCAGAAGATTTCTGAATCCATGGATGCAATGGATCTAATGCAGCGTGATAAGTCAGTAATTGAGACCCGTTGCACGGAGACATCTCAGGCCCTTTCGCTACTAAAGTTAGAGTATGAGGGTCTTAAAGGACGTTATGAAGTATTAGTTACCGAATCGAAAGAGAGAGATCGAAATTGCACAGAGACATCTCAGGCTCTTTCGCTACTAAAGTTAGAGTATGAGAACCTTAAAGGACGTTATGACGTATTAGGTGTCGAATCGAAAGAGAGAGATCGAAATTGCACAGAGACATCTCAGGCTCTTTCGCTACTAAAGTTAGAGTATGAGAACCTTAAAGGACGTTATGACGTATTAGGTGTCGAATCGAAAGAGAGAGATCGAAATTGCACAGAGACATCTCAGGCTCTTTCGCTACTAAAGTTAGAGTATGAGAACCTTAAAGGACGTTATGACGTATTAGTTACCGAATCAATGGAGAAGCAGCGTAGGTACGAAGAGAAGCTGAACGAGTGTAACGCTATTATGGGACAGAGTGTTGCCGCTGCCGAGGACGGTATTCGCCAGCAGACACTTCGGGTAACGGCGCTGGATGCGGAGTGTGTCCATCTGCGGCGGCGTGTGGTGGAGTTGGAGTGGGCGCTGCGGCTGGTCCGTCTGCAGTGGGCGGAGGAGGCCGGGCGGGCGGAGGAGGCGGCCGCGGAGGCGACAGAGCGGGGGCGCCTCGTGGGGGCCCTGCGGGCGGAGGAGCGGCGGGCTGCGGCCGATGAGGTCCGGCGGGAGGGGCGGCGGGGGCGCGAGGAGGCGGCGGAGGCCCGGCGGGCAGCAGAGGACGCACGCGATGAAGTCGTGCGCCGTACCCGCGAACTCCACGAGACTAGCGAGCGGGCGCAGGCGGAGGCAGCACGACTCACACGTGAACTCCACGCCAGCGAGGCCGCACGTCGCGCACTAGAGGAACACTTCCATCTCGCCGTACAACCCGGTAGCGGCGCCGCACCCGCACTCATCGAGTCACTCCGCCGCGAGAAGGAGGCACTAGAGCGCAAGACAATAGAACTTGAGCGCGCTAACGCGGCGATAAGGGACCAAGTAGCTACTTTTACTATGGAACTACAGAACGATCCGGCTATTAAGTCAGCAAAGGATACGCAGCGGCGTATGAATGAGCTTCAGGAAGAGCTGCTCCAAGCGCGGGATGATAACCAACGACTGCGCGATATACTGCGAGAGAAGGAGGAAGAAGTTTCGCGGTATCAGCTGGAAATTCTGCGGTCGCGATCGACTGAGACTGCGGCAACGCATCACCGTGAAAAAGAAGACAGACGTCTTCGTGAAGAAGTCAAGACTGCGAAAGAGTCTTATGAGCGCATGCGTCAAGCGCTAAAAGACCTACAACAAAAACAACAACAACAACAACATCAGCGGCGACACCATGGACGACATGAAAGATCTGGCAAGTCAGTAAAGCGTGATGTAAGCAGAAACAGTAGTAGTAGTGATTGTAGTAGTGACGGGACTAGCAGTAGCAGTACCTGTAGTAATGATAAAGATGTGAAGGCCAACAAGCGTGGTCACAAGAAAGTGTTAAGTAGTACAACACAGAAAGAAACAGTTCTATTACGTGAGGCAGAGATGTGGCGGCAGAAGTATTTGCAACTTGAGCAACACGTTCGTGATTTGCTTCGTGAGCGTGATGTACTCAGAAAGGAACTTAACCTGACTAAACAGGATGTAGACGCACTGACGAGCGAGAAACGCTCTCTTCTCGATCTTAATTCTCTTCTAAAGGCGCAATTAAGGGATGCTTATCGGACAGCACTAGAATATCCACCACCAACACCACCACTACCAGTTCCACTACCACTACCAGAAGGACAACAACAACAACAACAACAACAACAACGAGAAAAAGTTTCCACTTCACATCAAATGAGTTCGGGGCTTTCCGCTAACCGAACAGCGACGAAAGAATCGTCTTATTCGGTCCCACATCTTGCAGTAGATAATGTTTTTAACAGTACTACAGCCCCACAATCTTCAGCAGAAGCAGAGCGTATTTCAGCTTTGGAGGAGGAGCTAGCTGCAATGAAGGCGTTTATGGTGACGCAGCGTCAGGCATCCATGCGTACGTCTCATCCTTCGGGAGGAACTACTGTTTCTGCGAAGGAGCAGTCGACAATTCGAAAATTACAGAGACATCATCAACAACAACAACAAATTCCTTCTTCTACACAGACAAGACGCCCTACCGTTCGAAGTGGAGCCCCAGTGGTACATCGAGGCTCATCTGCTGTGCGTCATTATGGCTACATGTAGGTTTTATCTGTAACGTCATTCACCTTGTTGTCGTGTCTCTACTTGTATACACGTACAGTTTTGTATGCATGTGTACACAAACCTACAAAAAGGAAAAAAAATTAAAAATTATATCCATACCTTTACTACCTAATTGTTGCGACTTGTATGCAGTACTAATTGTTTTTGCAACACCATCATTGCTTTTTTGTTTTTTCTTTCCTTTTTTTCCCCTGGAGTTTGGTATAGGAAGCAAACGTAACTCTGTTGCATAAATAGAACAACAGGGAACAGAACTTTTTAGTGAGAAGGGTGTAGAGACCCAGGCGCACGTATACCAAGAAAGAATTCAAGAAGAAGAACAAGAACAACACACACACAAAAAAAAAGAAACAGCGAAAAGAAGCAATAACAAAAGAAGTAAGGAAATAGAATACAGGAAAATAATTTGTTTAAGGGATGGGATCAAGCAATTCACGTGAGCGGCGCTCTCGGCATCAAGGTCGCAATGATGGACTTTCACCTCCAGTGAATATGCCTACACACTTAGCAAGTCAGTACAACAATCGAAGAAACCCTGCAAATAACGGTAACACTGTCCCTGCCCCGCCACGGCCAGACCAGCAACAACCACCGCCACCGCAGCAACCAATACCACCACAGCAGCAGCAACAACAACAACAACAACAGCAACTGGCACCTACTGACAATAACAACAACAATAATAACAATAACAACGCTAACAACTCCAACAACAGCAATGAAGGCAGAAGTGCCAACAATCAACGTGGTGTCCAAGAAGGGCAAATTGTGAAAATGTTGGCTACTGTTGATGCCTCATCAGTAAATTATGATGCTGGAACGAATACGCTGAGATTCTCCATCACCAGCGTATGTCCTTCCTTGACGTATGAGATTCACACAGGTGTGAAGGAATATATAAAAGATGGTGAAGTTTTCTACTTGCCAAACAAGCCTAAAATGGAGCCTCCTCGTATTTCTCTTGAAGGTTCACAGGAAAACAAAGAGGTTACTGTACGTATTGACGTGTCCAAGTTGGATGAGAAAGAACGAGTATATAACAAGCATTATCCTAAGCAACAACCATGTGTTATTGTCCTGCGTTACCGCACGAAGGAGATGCGTAAGGGCAAAGGTGATGATACCTCTGCTCCGACAGAGGAGATTGCCGAACACACAGAACACACCGCAGTAGATCTTGCTGAGAACCCGAAGCGACGGGTCATCAGTCAAATTATCACCGCATCTGGTGGGGCTTACGTCGTGGAGGATCTCTTTGGCGTTGACGGTGAGGTGTCTGGTGTTGTGGGCGGTGGGGCGGAGGTGATGCTTGGCACCACCATTGTTCCCCACGAAGGAGATGATGATGACGACGGACTTTGTGTGATTTGTCTCACAATGCCAAAAGACACCGCTGTTATGCCATGTCGACATATGTGTCTCTGCAAGAATTGCGCCGAGGAACTAATGCGGCACATGCCAAAGTGCCCCGTTTGTCGTGGCTCCGTCTCCACGCTACTGCATATGCCGTCATTAAATGATGGTGAACATGTATGAGGAAACAATAAGGGAATTGAGGAAGAAAAAAAAATATGAAAAAGGCGTTTGTGCTCGAAAATGGATATCATTGAAATTTATGAATGATTTATCTACTTAGACAAAACAAAGAGATGAGAGAGAGAGATCTCGAGAGATTAGTGTTTATGTATCTGTGGTTGAATTGGGCCAAAATATGATGAAGAGAGGAAGGTTGAAAGAAAAGAAGAAGAGTAAGAAGGTAAAGATGAGGAGCGTGCGATAGGGGATATTAGTCTGCATAATAGAGCTAAGAGAAATGAAGCAAAAAAAAAAAAGGGGAAAAGTAAGGAAACCGTAGGGAATCATGTCAATAAAACGTTAAGGAAAGCAGGAAAAAAAGGGAAATGAAAAAAAAAAAAAATAACACACACACACACATACTTTATAGGGCCATGCTTGACGTTTATTTCTCCTTTGCAACAACTGTAATGTTGACCAATGTGAGAGAGTGGTTCGGGTAGAGTTTAGAATGAGTGTGTAGGTTACGTTTTCCCTTTTTGTAGTTCTTTCTTCTTTTTTTGTTTTATTTCTTGTATTTTCGTTGGGAATTCTCGTATGAAATCCTTTGTACTTTTTTTCTAGTTCCCTTGTTGGAAATGCGTTTAACTCGTCAAATTCCCTGGCTTCCTGACTTGTGCTCTTACATTGCGGTGAGGCGTCGTGGTTTAACAATACGAACTGCAGCGTTTTCTCTTCGTTTGTATTGTGATATTATTATTATTATTATTATTATTATTATTATTATTATTATTATTATTATTATTATTATTATTACGTTTTTTATTTCTGTTTTCCTTTTCGCACTTTGCGTGCGAGGATATATACTCGGGACTTTCTGACCCACGAGCTTTTGGTGTATTATTCTTCTGGGTAGTGGCATTTAGTACATTTCGTCAACCCTGAGATTCATATATAATTATGTGCATTTGTGAACAAAGAAAGAGTATGTCGACCTTTTTTTTTTTTCAAGGTCACTCGTGCCATTAGCGAGTAGAATTGTTGATCTATTTCTCTCGTTATGCCTGGTGTCTTCTCTCTCTCTCTCTCTCTCTCTTTACTTTTTGCATCTTTTACTTTACGCACATACACACGCACCCACATAAACGCTATTTCTCTCTTTTTCCTTTTTCTTTCCTTTTTGTTTCGTCGATCTTTTTTTTTTCCTAGATTTTCTCCCCTCTTAAGTCTTTTTTTCATCTCTTATTCTTTCAGTTATGCAGCCGATAAGAAAGAGACGTTTGGAGTGAGAGTGGCTATGTAATAGTGTATATGTGTGAGAAGAAGAAAAAACGGTGGTTGGTTGAAGTGCAGAGGAGAGATAACACCAAGGATATATTAAAAAAAAAAAAAGAAACAGTTTCGTAATCATTTTGATGTTTTTTTTTTTCTTTCTTTCTTTCTTTCTTTCTTTCTTCCCCTTTGCTTATTCGAGGCTGAATCACATCGTGTGGAGGTGGTGAACCTGTTAAGTGAGGATGCGTTGCATATGTTGTGTGAAAGTGAATAGTGTTTAGTATAAGTAAGGATAATCAGGTGAACCTTTTTCGAGAATAAATATATATGCATAAATAGAATATATATTTATATATTTGCTTCTTCATCATGTGTTTCTTTTTTTTTCTTTTTCTTCTTTATCTGTATTAGGATTAAAAAAAAAAATTGGGGTGGACGACAGGCTTGAATTGCATTTGGGTATAGGAAAAGTAGTATTTAGAAAAAAGACGTGGCCATGTCTGCTGATTCTTGCTCAACGTGCTGCGCCGTACTCTCCATTTTGGGTATTATTCATCTTGTCCTTTTTGGAGGCATGTTCCAGGCGCGGGCTATTTCGTTCCACATTGTAAGTGTGGAGAATGGTTGGAATATTGATGAGAAGGCCCGTGCTTGTTTTAACGGGGCCATCTTTTACGGCATAACGCTTTTTATTTCCGTTCTAGCCCGCATCTATGCACGGCGTAGTGATGCCGCACGACAGGCGTTGCTGGAAGCCGAACAGCGCCGCGAGCGTGCGGAGTTGTTAAATCATTGATGCACTGTGGATAAAGTTTTTATTTATTTATTTCATCCTCAGGTCTTTCAGGATGCTTTTTCTTTATTTTTTTTTTTTTTTTTCTTCGCTTTTTGGTGTTTGTCAAGAAGAATTAAAAGGAGACTAAGGCGTGATAAATGGACTTGAATTGAAAGGCATTTTTCTTAACAGGGGATGATTTAAAAAAAAAGAAAAAAAAGGAAAAATAATAAAAAGTAAACGAGAGAGAATTACGTGTGTACGTGGGTGTGTCTCTCTTTTTTTTTTTTTTTCTCATCCCTCTGTATATTGAAGATACGCTGAGAGATACAGGTGAAATAATAACGAGCAGTGTCAATATTTGGTCTGAAAAAGTACTACCCCGCTTCCATTGTCAGTAAGCATGGTGCCATTACTGCTACGAAGAGGCAAGCTTCTTCTTTTATTGTTTTTTTTTTTTTCTTTCGTGAATGATGTGTTTTAAATTTTTCTATTCCTTCACAAAAAAAAAAAAAAAACATACATATATACGTACATAAATGTTTTTTTTTTTTTTTTCTTCTTTCTTCCCTCGTAATGCATCTTGTCTTGTTTAATAATAACAATAATTATTATTATTACCTTGTTGGTTCTACTACGAATACAGAGGACAAGGTGACCATCCTTTGTAGAAAAGTGGACGCTTGGTATCAACGTCAGTAAAAAAAAAAAAAAAAAAAGAGAAAGAAGAATACAAAGTCGAAAAGAAAACAAAGATACCTGTTGTGTGTGTGCGTGAAGAAAACAAAAACAAAAGTCAAACTGTAGTAGAGTATCAGTAAACATTATAAATAAGAAGTATTTGTATGGATCAGTTTAAACAGCCCTTAGAGGGGATATTTCGCGATGGTATTCCTGCACCTGTTCTTCGCGCCTTTGCCCCACTGTATCAAGCACTACCATCACTTCAAGAAGCCGTTACTGCTAGTCGAGACTGCTATTATTGGCGAGCCAATCCTCTAAAGTGCGTTGATGAGGATGTACAGACTGTAACGGCTTTTATGCAAGCGAGTGAGGCCTCATTCCGCATGTGTCCACAACAAAGCGCAACTCTTCTTAAGTGTCACATGACAGAACCCGCTAAGGCGCTCTTTTTCTGCCGAGATGAGGAATGGGAATGGCGTACATGTCTTATGGACCAAACTGGAATTCGCTTCTGGCCGTATGCTAATGCACCTGTAGGGGCCCCGTGGAGTAATGGTGGTCAGACAGAGGACTTTCATTTGGAGGATCGATTCTTTTATGAAAATTTCTCGTGGTGGCGGCGGAAGGCGGCAATGCTTGCAGTACGACATCGTGAGTTGGAGGTACAGGCACAGAGGAAACACTGGTTAGATGAACAGAATCAAAATAGTGGAGAGGGTTCTAAGCAGTCTTTGATGCCTCCAAAACCAACACTTGCCCCTGTAGGTATTAAGAGAGACATGAATTAGCGTGGGATGATAGTTTTGAAGTAAGGAAGTAATGTTGCCAAATACATAGCGGTTCAGAGCTTTTGATGTTGACACTAGGAAACAAAAAAAAAAAAA